GTGGAGGTGTTCGACGTCGTGCTCCTGGCCGACGCCGACTATAGCCTGAGCCTGGCGCCGATCGAGCACTCGCTCAGCTATCGCTCGGCGTCGGGACCCGACGGAGTCGACGTGGCCGAGTTCGTGCTGGAGCTCCGATTCCCGCCCTTCAACGGCTCGCTGGCCTACGACCCGAGCCTGGGCATCGACGTGCTGCTCGGCTCCGACGATGGTGATGGCGGCGACGGTGGCAGCAGCGGAGGCAGCGATATGGCGCTGGTGATCGGGGTCGCTGTGGCGCTGCCCATCGCGGCTGTGTTGGTGGTGCTGGCGATCAGCGCGGGCGTGGCAATCGGCTGGTGGCTGAGGAAGCGGGAGACGACCAAGAGTGTCGCCAGAGGCGACTCGGTCAACTTCCACTACCTCGACTCCTCCGAGTTGTGAGTGTTATTTAATAAATTAAATGAATATGGGGGTAAGTTTATCACCAGAGGGCGTAGTGGGTTTCAACGACGCCCAGAACGTCCTCGATGGTGACGACGTTGCTTGGGGAGGAACCACCCTCGAGGGCCGCGACGTCGATCGTACCGGAGAAGGTGCCGCCCACTTGTGAGAATTCTGTGGCACGAGCGTGGTAAGCATCCATCCCGCCAGCACACGCACACGCACACGCACACAAGGGGGTAGTTACCTGAAGCGATGACGCCCACATGAACGTGCTCCTCCCGCGCGGCGTGTGGGGTGAACTGGAGCTGCAAAGCGCCGTTGTGGCTGCGGAGGGTCCACTTGTCCTGCGTCAACCGCTGGCGCGCGGGGAGCGTGAACTGCACAGGACCCACCAGGTGCACCTGTACAACAAAAGAAAGAGGAGAGAGAGACGGTCAGCACGTCAGCATTCGTTGTCACACTCTCACTCTCTGAGCTGACACTTACCTTGCCGTTGAGCCAGAAGGCGTTTTCCTTAGCCTCGTACACCTCCGCGGATAGGTTGAGCCCCACCGACACATCACCTGCGCGAGTCGATGCAAGACCGGCGAACGAAGCCCACTTCCAAGTGGTCTCGCGCGTGGCATGGGAACGGGTCCAGTCCATGGTGGCGAACGAGTCGGCCTTGGTGAAGCGCAGCTCCTCGTCGCCCCACCTGAAGCTGCCCTCCACCGGCATTCCTGCCGCCTGTCGCGGATTCCACGACGAGCGCGATGGCCATTTGTAAGCCACCATATCGCCACAGATGGTGATGGATCCAGGGCCAATGGGAATTCAAACCTTGTGGGTGTAGGCAGCGCGCCGCCTGGTCGGACCCTCGAGCGGGTACAGCAATGCCAGAGATTCCTTTGTGTTGGTGGTGGGCGATGAAGTCGTGCCTAGTTAATGATTGTACCCAAGAAGAAGATGATGATGATGGATGATGAAGACGAAAGAAGTGTTGACGTACGTCGGGCTTGGCGATGGTGCAGCGCCCGTCGAAGACGGTGCCGTTAATGGTGACGTGCAGCTCGACGGCGTAGCCGCCCTGATCGGCCTGGATCACCATTCGGTTTCCGCGGTTCTTCCAGCTGGTCGTGCCCTCGACCGAACTGTCCGCAAACGAGAGCCCTGCCGCAATAAAAGGGTCACACATGGGCCTCAGTTGCATCAAAGCCACATCAACGCGCCCAGGCGAAAGCCATACCAAAGCTAAGCGGAACGAGCGCTCTGTACTCGCAGGACGTGGAGCGGCTTTGCCTGGTGTGTAGTCGTGAGGATTGCGTACCACTCAGATAACAAGCAGTAAAAAAAAAGTGTAAAATACACTTACTTGTCCATCAGGTACACCCACGCGTTCGCCAGGTAGCCCAGGTTGACGATGGCCATCCCCACGAACCACCTCCCTGCAAACACAGATCTGACCATCAGGCACAAGACTCTTGTTTCTTGTTATTTCTTGTTATATTTGTTTGTTTGTGTATTTTGGCGTACCGTTGTTGATGGAGTGGTAGTGCCACTGCTTGAGGCGCCATGACGGTGCCGCGACGTCGGGCAGAGGCAGGGCCTGCTTGTAGCGCCCCCAATGATAGGGTACGACTTCTGACTTCCCTTCCTTCTCCTGCATCTGCTTTTGTGCTCGTTGCGTCACCTCGTCCTTCCATTCCTGCAAGTAGACCGCATTTTCTTTCTGGATTTGTGGCGATTTTGCCTTGCCGCTGCTTGATCGGCGCACAAATCGAACGGCACCCAGCAGCAACAGCACCACCACCGCTGCACTCGCCACCCCCCCAGTCCATCGTGGTGTGAGCAATACGAAGGGCAATTTTGTTTTATTAATTGGATAATATTTAC